TTGTTGGTGGACTGGCAAATCACTTTCCAGGAATAATAATTCCTCCCAAACAAACAAAATGTGGTCACTCAACAACAACAACAATAAGATTTCATTTATAGAGCGCCTTTCACGTCGGGAGGACGCCCAAGGCGCTGTACACTTGGGTCAGGACCCAAGCACGGGGGAAATGGTCAGGGTGAGGGGAGGGAAGGGAGGGAGGGAGCGAGGAGGGAGTAGAGAGTCGAGAGGGGAGCTGAAGGCACGGTCAAAGAGAAAGGTCTTGAGACCGGCCTTGAAGGAGGAAAGGGAGGAAGCGGTGAAGGCACTGGGGGATAGAGTTCCAGAACCTCGGGGCTGAGAGGCTGAAGGCCTGGGCACCGATGGTAGGGCGGTTGGGGCGGGGGATGTGAAGCAGACCGGAGCCAGAGGAATGGAGGACCAATTTATTATTGTTTTTCTTGGGAGTGATTATTATCAGGCATGTGGAGTAAGGAAACTTGCTCAAGGTTTCACCCTGCTGGGAATCAAACCCAGGTTTCTCGCTTGCAAAGCCAGTGCTCTAACCACTGAGGACTCCACTTTGTCTGTGCCTGCAGAGATGATATTGTTAACATTAAAGCAATAAAGTCAGTTTCATGAATATAATTTAAATTAGTGATCTGGGTTGGGTTCAGTGTTCCAGCACAACAACAGCCAGGGTTCACTTAACAGACAGCAACAATAAAGTTAAATTCTCAAGTTTACAATATGTACTTGCCAAAGTTAGGCTTTCCAGTCTCTATAGTCTTGTAACAATCCTAAGTTTCCTGCATTAAGTTCATGACTTGGACAGCATGAATGAGAACATAGGCATTTCTATGACCAGGCAGCAAATTCATTGGCATCAAAGCACGTTCAATCTCTCTCCCTGTCCAGATGGAGATTTGAGTCTCTGAGGACAATCTCTGGCCCATGGTTCCCTTCCTTCCTCTTGCTATACTTGCACTATACTCTCTTTAACCTCTGGCTATCACTTTGCGCATACTTGCATTGTTATGTTATGCTTATTAGACGTCTACTACAAATCAATCTATTTCAACTCTAGTAAACAGGTGATTCTGTACATTACTCACTGACAGACAGCAAACAAATGGCTGTTGACAAGCTGTGAACTGGGCAGACCAGCCAACTGTACAAACTATTGGCAGCTTGACTATACTGCTTGGCTGTGTCATTCTCTCCACCATCCCCCATGTGAAATAAAATATTGCAACCTGAAGCTACTATAAAGGAGCCATCACCTCAGCCAATATGATCACTCCTAAATTACTTTGCATTAAAATGCTTTTTGTTACAAACAATGTTTGCCTGTTCAGACAGACATTAAAGATCTTGTGACACTATTGAAAAAGAGAAAAGATTCTCCCAGTATCTGGTCCAACAATCTTTCAAATAAATTGGTCATTCCCTGCTCTGTGCTCCATTGTTCGTGCGACCTTTTGGCATGCAAATTGATTGCTGTGTTTGTTTATACACGGTCACTACACAGAATTCCCTGTGAAGCGCTTTGCTACCTTTTGCCATTATAGCCACCATATCAAATGCAAGCATTATTGTAAGATTATGTTCTCAGAAGTTGTAATGCCTGCTCAGTGCCAATGTGAATCCCTTCCTTGCACATCTTACAAGTGAGATTCCTGGATTAGCATGTGCGACATGATTAGTGTTTTTTCATTATGACACTGAAGAGGAAACATTTTTACTGTATGGATTGCAATTCACTCCCTCCTGTTTCTACCCACATTTTACAGTGCTGTTTCCCGTGGTTTCTCTTGCACAATGAGAAGTATACTTAAGTTTGTTTACCTTCTAAACCGTGAATCAACCATATGGACGTGCATAAAACCAAAGGCTCGGTTAAATTGGAGCCTGCATTCTCAGCCACACCCATAATGGTGGTTGAAGATAAGCATATATTAAATTAAAATATATTTAAAAAAATGTTAAACATACATTACGTAATAATATACTCCTTTTATCAGATGTAGAATCATTATTAACTCCAATATCTGGTTAACAATAAGGTTGTTTCTCCCAGTGATCTGACCAACAAACCTCCAGATAAATTGCTTGTTCACGTCACATCTATTTGTGGAAACCATGCTGTGCGAAATGTTTGTCTTGTTTCCTTACAAATGAACAGTCACTACACTTGACAGCAATTCCCTGGGAAGCACTTTGAAAAGGTGAACATTATATTAAGATCAAGGATTATTTGTTAAGCAACAGGCTAGTTTTTTTTTCTTAAAGATTATACGAACAACACATGAAATGTTGATATTTAATATTTTCTGATGCTCTCCATTGAGGCTCTGCTCTGTGTGGCATTAGCCATCCTCAGGAGAGCAGTGGAGTGCTGCAATGAACTTCTTACAATGGTTTCCACTCAGACATGATCCACAACATGCGGTTTTCAAGTAAGAACCAGACGGTGTACAGCTGTAAGATATTTCCCCCCCACCCCTGTGGTCAACTCACCAGGCGAAGTCACACTATGGCTCAAATGGCTGCTTCAGTAAGATAGCTACTGCCAAATGCACTTCAATCACTGGCTTTACGAAAGGACAGGGGAAGTGGGGAAGAAAACTAGTCCTTCAATTTCACTAGGTTTTACCCTGTAAGTGTGTGGGGAATGGGTGATTCCAAACCACCTGCAGTGCAACCCAATTTCTTAGGAAGATTATGACCAGGTAACACACCACAGGCTCAATGCTGTAAAGGGAGATAGGCACAGCACAGTATGGTAGGAACGTTTAAAACAAGCAAAAGATAAAAGTCAGCCACTCATCACACCCTGTATCACCACTCTTGAGATGTGGCGGGGTGAAAATTTAAGGAGAGAAGGAGCACATCCCCATCGGAAGGAACAAAGGTAGCGTGCCTAGTAGCCAGCTATACAGCAGTATTACCAGAGGTCTCAGAACAGAACCTGCCTGTGCTTTCAGCAAGGAATTCTATGTATAAACAAAACAATGCTTCAAAGTGTGTAAAAAAAATACATTTCTACCCATTGTCAGCATCCAAAGCCTTGGGTCACAAAGTTTTCATTAAGTAGCCAGAGCACCTTAAGTGCTCAAAGCACATCAAAAAGATTGATTTTTTCATTTCAACAATGTAATCAGGTCAATCCTTAAACTTGCAAGCCTGAACAGGCTGGAAGGAAATTGTATTTTGGAGCCAAGGTTTCAGGTTCACTCCCCGCTGTCGAATGACCTGCCAGCACATACAAACAATGGCCATATGGGTAAAGTACTGGAGGGAGACGAGCACCTATGGAACTGCACCCAAATCCTACTATAAATTAATCAAAACGCCTTAAGGAGACTAAGAAGGTGAGGAGGAGAGATTGAAGGATAAAATTGCTCAAGTGACTTTATTACAATAAACCTGTTTCAGTCATGGAACATGAGCTGAAACCTCAAAACCAAGCAAAGGCTATTGAGAAAGAAAAAATATCATTATGTGTGATTTGTGTCATTTACATCAGGAAGATATATCAAACTGCTTTACATGTTTACTGTAAGGTGTAGAGAATGTGCATTTTGCGGACAAATGCAGCAGCCAATTTGCACACAACAATCTCCCACAAAAATCTATGAAGTTTTATTTGGAGGACACGGGGAAAAATTCCTTTCTCTTTCAGGTAGTGCCACAGATGTTTCATGTCCAACTGGTTTTAACAGCTCATCCAAAGCACAGCACCTCCAAGAATGCAGAACACCACAATATTGCATTGGAGAGTCAGACAAGACTTTAAAGTTCAAGAGGTGAGATTGCTACCAACTGAACCAGGCTGATGCCAAGGTGTGGGTTTAAATTTGTTCACCTATCAGTTGATATGAGGTGTTCTGATGAGCTGCTTGTTATGTGGTGATGCTACAGCCTGACATAATCCTTTATCTTTGTTCAAACAAGATACATCTAATTCTACAGAAAATTTGAATGAATTTGAAAGATAATTTCAGGCTACTGAAGATTGCTATCAACACAAACACCACACCACCTAACAATAGAAACGGATTAGAATTAAACCCACAATCTAATCTCAGAAATTGTTTTTACAGTTTACGGCAGCAACTGCTGCTCTCCAGGTAGCTCAGTCATACACACTGAGTGCAGCTGTACAGAGCGTTCCATTAAATTAAAAACTACCTGGTAATGCCACATCTCAGCCAATGGCACTCAACCAGAATCACTCTCCAGTTTCCTGGGTTACTGTTCCTCAAATTATTTTTCCCGCCTCCTATTTGGATGTGCTGAGCATTCCAGCGGCCACCTCTGCATACCCTCCTCAACAGTAACATAGTGGACTATTGCATCAGTTGCCTGTTCAGATCACTCTGCCTATTAAGGCAGAGGTTAAAATCCCACCCCAATTTGGTCATTCCCCTCATTGCAGTTTGTTGGACGTTGCTGGTGCACATTTGTTGCTGCATTTGCTTAAATTTATAATTATTTCACATCAATGCCATGCTCAGTTTGAAAGGCACTGTATTAAATGCAAGGATTAGCACAAAAACAACAACTTGCACTTACATAGCGCCCTCCACGCTGGGCGGCGTCTCCGAGCACTTAACAATGGTGAAGCCCAAGGCCAAGCCAGGGGGAGGGGGAAGGTGACCATAGGTGCCAAAGCCAAAAAAGGTCTTCAGGCGTGACCTGAAGATGGGGAAGGAGGGGGGTGAGGCGAAAGAGTTGAGGGAGGGCATTCCAAAGTTTTGGGGTGTAGTGGCTGAAGGCACGGCCACCGACAGTGGAGCGGAGGATTCAGGGGACGCGGAGGAGGCCGGACCCAGCAAAGCGGGGGCAGCGGGTACTGCTGTGGGGAGAGAGGTTAGAGAGATAGGGGATGCCAAGGAATGAAGTGATTTAAACACTAGAGTGAGGATCTTGAAGTTGATCCGTTCTGTGACAGAAAGACAGTGGAGTTTGGCAAGGACTGGGGCTTCTTATAAGGATCACCACCTCAAAACGCTTACCTTCCATCCAGCTGAACTGTTGCTGTCTCCTTTGTCTCTGAAGTAGGGCACAGATTTGACCATCCACTCGTAGATCTGTGACAGAGTCAGTCTCTTGTCAGGAGAGCTCTCGATTGCTTTGGTGATTAGGTCTGCATACGACTGATGACCCCACGCATTTCTCCTGGAGGTACCTTTCCTCTGAGCTCCCGCCGCACCAGTTTGGGAACAGATGTCGGCATTGGGACCAGCTTCGCTCTCCGATTTCACAGCGTTTGGATCTGCATTGTCAGTTTTTTCTTCTTCCGTCGGTGTTCCCGAGGCCGACTCCTCCGGTTTGACAACTGTCAAATCCGGCCTTGGCAAAGGCCAAGTACAAGATCTGGGGCGACTCTTCGGCTCAAAGTCTGGGTCTATCTCGACTTTTGGCTCTTCTTCAGCCATGTCTTTATAAAAATGACTACAGAGAGAAAGCTGTATACTTTCTATTAAAATTGAACTGCTAGAAAATGTTTTAAGCATCGATTTTCATCATCCCAAACTGCTAAATTTCCACAACATATTCGACAGTTATTTCCGTCCTTTAACTTATTCCAGATGGCGTCCCAGTGTTTGCATCAAGGAAGATTAAAAACACAGACCTGGAGATGCCAAATATGATGGTATATTGTGCAACAACTCAATATTTGCAACCTCAGTATTCGTCTGCAGCTTATTTGAATTTCGGACTTAAAAAACAGAATCCACGTGAACTATTTTGAGTATATTTTAATTGGCTGTAATAAGTTTGGGCACCTTTTCACTTAATCAGTCCTGTATTTCAAAGTGCAATCACGATTTAGTCACGGTGTAGATTCCTCAAATACGTATTCTTTCGTGTATTTTTTTTTAAAAAACAAAACAAAAACCAGACCACACTATAAAACCTCGATGAAATCCACCAGGTGCACTGCCGTCGACCGGAATTTTCTCTCTCTTTTTTTTTTAAAAAAAATTGCAAAACAAAATTGTGTCCCGATGAATTAATCTGAAGTAGTAACTTCTGGAAAGTGATCTTCGGCGAGAGAGACGATACAGGGAGAGCACTCTTGCTTGAATGGCAAACTGGAAAAGGCAGTAACTTCCCCCCCCCCCTTATCCGTTAACGTGACTGGCAGCAGTAGGTCTTCTTTGTCCACAAAGCAGTCTCTTCCACACCCGCTCCGCTCCCCTCCCCGATCTGAAAAGGGCTCCCGAAAGCAGTCTGCAAACACTTAAAAAGTTCTGCCTGATATCCAAAACGTTTCTTTTATTCAAAGAGGTGGGGGGGTGGGTGGATGATGATGAGGAGGAGGAGGAGGAGGAGTTTGGAGGTGAAGAGAGTCAACGATTTCGCAATTCGGTTTAAATCCGGATTCAATGCAGGTCCTGATTTGCTTCAAGAGCAAAAGTAAAAAAAAAAAGAGAATCGATTGCGAATCTCTCCCCCCCCCCACAACAAAAAAAAATAAAACCCTAACAGCGGGCGATTGGGTTGTGTCGGGATGTGAACGCGTGGCTGTCAGTCAGTCAGTCAGTCAGTCACTACTGCTGAGGGAGGGAAGAGAAATGGGATGGGAGGGGGAGGGGGGAGAGGAGAGAGGAAAAAAAAAAGTTTGTTGTCTCTCCGCTGTCGCTGTAAGTCAACACGAGTCCCAGTGCCTCACAAACACCTGTAAATCCGGAGCCATTCGGGGCTCGAAGGCCCCGCGCGCGCGCGCGCTCTTTTCCCGCGGGTTTACTCGCGAGCCGGAGTCCCCTCCCCGGGTTCCCGCGGCGGCGGGCAGCTGCCGGGCGCCTCCTCGGCCCAGGCTGCCATCTTGACCGCGATCACCAAGACGGGGGGGGGGAGAGAGAGAGAGAGGAGAGGGGAGAGCGGTGCGGAGCGCGCGCCACGAGTCCGCCTCGCGCCGCCCGCCTCAGCTTTCACTCGAGCTCGGTGCGGCCTGGGCCCAGCGACGCCCGCCCCCTCCTCGCCGCGCCGCGCCGCGCTGCCGTGCCGTCCGGCCTCTCGCTCGCTCCGCCGCCGCCGCCGCCTCCTCCTCCTCCGCCTCCGCCGCACCGCGATCCCGGGGCCGCTTCGGGCGCCTTTCGCTTCTTTCCTCCGCTCTTCGCTCCTCTTTGACGTGTTTTCATCGCGTAGTAAACACCGTCGCCATGACGTAATGGCGGGCGGGGGTGGGGGTGGGCGGGGCTGCGCGTGCGCGGGAAGGGGTGGGTGTGCGCGCCGCAAAGCACGACGGGAGTTGTAGTCTTCGGTGCGGGGGGGGCGTGTCCCTGCACCAGGCATTGCCGGCGGCGGCGGTACAGGGTTGGAACTACACGCTCCAGCGCGCACCGCAGCAGCCAACACTTTAACCCTCTCCCCTCCTCTTCCACAGCGTTTAATGATTTGATTTCCTTACCGTTGTGTATAATGATAACGACAGTAACAATAATAATCCTCGCATTTGATATAGCGCTTTTCACGTCTTCTCGACGTCTCAAAGCGCTTCACAGCGTATACTGTAAGGTGAATTGACTGTATATTTGTGGGCGAATGTAATGACGAATGTACTTTGTAATGACCATTACTTACTGCATACTCACTCGCACTGAACCCCTACACCCCCCCCACCCCCACACCCCCCCATCGCACCATTTCCAGCCAGGCTCCACTGGTTTCCTATCACCGAACAAATCGATTTCAAAATCCTCGTACTTGTCTTCAAATCCCTTCACGCCTTGGCACCGCCCTACCTCTCCGACATACTTATTCCCCAACCCACTACCCATTGCCTCCACATAGTCTGCCGCTAAATCTCAGTCTCCCCGCTTGACACCTGTCAGCTTCTTCTCACCTGAGACACTGACCCTTTTGACCTGCGCAAGTCCCCACTCCATCTCATAGAGCCGGTGCAGAAGCTCGGTGTCAAACAAGGGATGTTCAACCTCTAACTGTCCTTCAAGCTTTCACTCAGCTATCCCCTGACCTCCACATAGGCCTACGACCTCCATACTCAATCGACTTGCTAAAAGTGTCATAAAAATGCTAAATCAGCCTCTGTACATGTGCAATAAAGAGCAGTCATTGTTGCCTCAGGAAAAATTTGATTGGCTGCTGGGGTAACCGGTAAGACTAGTCCTGTTCTAGCCCAACATTCACATACTAAATAAAATGTGAACAAAACACAAAATACTGCAGATGCTGGAAATCTGAAACAAAAACAGAAGTCGCTGGGAACAGTCAGCAGGTCAGGCAGCATCTATGGAGAAAGGAAAGTGAGTCAACATTTCGGGTCCACGACCCTTCGTTCAGAATGCAAGGTTCTGACGAAGGGTTTGTGGACCCGAAACGCTGACTCACATTTTTCTCCATAGATGCTGCCTGACCTGCTGCATGTTCCCAGTGACTTCTAAATAAAATGTGCGCGTGTCTGCCCCTCAAAACAGTCACTTCGCTTTGCATTTCTGTGAACCACTTTGAGATGTGCTCCCGACGTGAAAGGTGCTGCACCAAATGCAAGTACTGTATGATAGACTGTAGTTTAAATCTTGCAATGCCAATTATCTGCCATTAGAGGGCGAGCTAATTCCTTCTGTTTTCTGAGGCCCTCGTGTGGCGGCAACCTCACACTGCAACCTCGCTGTGCAACAGCTTACAGTACACTACACAGTAAAACAGTTTCAGAGGGCGGGTGCCCAAACAAGGTTGGGAGATTGTGGTTGGAGAGGGAGGTAGAAACAACAACAACAACAAGATTTCATGTAGGGAGCGCCTTTCACGTCGGGAGGACGTCCCAAGGCGCGGGACAGTTGGGTCGGGACCCGAGCATTGGGGGGGGAAATGGTCAAGGTGAGGGGAGGCAAGGGAGGGAGCGAGGAGGGGGGAAATGGTCAGGGTGAAGGATGGGAAGGGAAGGGAGGGAGCGAGGAGGGGGTAGAGAGTTGAGAGGGGAGCTGAAGGCACGGTCGAAGAAAAAGGTCTTGAGACCGGCCTTGAAGGAGGAAAGGGAGGAAGCGGCGAAGGCACTGGGGGATGGAGTTCCAGAGCCTAAGGGCTGAGAGGCTGAAGGCCACTGATGGTAGGGCGGTTAGGGCGGGGGATGTGGAGCAGACCGGACCCAGAGGAACGGAGGGTACGGGCAGGTAAGTAGGGGGATAGTAGGTCAGAGAGAAAGGAGGAAGGAGGAAGTTGACAGAGATATGTTTTTAGAAGGGTTTTGAAAGCAGAGAAGGAGAGTAGAAGGGAGGGAGGTATTGGGAGAAACTGTAGATAGCTGGGGGAAAGTATGCTTGCTCTTGATGACCAAAAAAAATTCATGTATTTCTTATATTTTATTTTTTCGTGTCCTCTTTCAAACCTGAATATGAATAACGGACTATTATTGACGGATCCTGTTCTTCTGAACATAGGGCACTATGTCAAATACAAGGATTATTATTATATTTGATGTTATTATATTTTTCTTACCCTCTGTTCATAGACGACTCTGGAGGCAATTTGAACCCGGGAACCCGAATATCAGATAATCTTCCATACAGCTGACTGGATGTGCAATGCTCTATGCTCGACCCTAGGCGAGTAGCGCGGCGCCCCTGCAATCTGAATATCCCACTGCAAGTTGCGTATCGCACTTAGCAGGAGTCACTACGCATGTTTCGGGGCTCCGTCTGCGGCGCCGGTCGTGGCCCGGCAACGCGAATACTCGCAAGCACGCCTCGTGCCCTGGCGTCAGATCTGTGCTATCGCGCACACGTTCCGGGGTGCGGCATGGACGTCATCGTTTGCCCGCCCACCGGCTGCCTGCGGACCCCGGAATCCGAATGACGAGGGCGCGACAGTCACGCCCGGCCGGAAGTATAGTGCGTTATGCAGGTTGCGTGGCGGGGCCTTTTTAAATTTAAAAGCGAGCGCTGGAGGCGGGGAAGGCGGGTAACGGGCTGAGGGGAAGGGAAAAAAAAAAATGGCGGAGGCTGTGGCCGACACCCGCAGACTCAACAGCGGACGCCAGGACTTGAACGACGCGTACGGGCCCCCCAGTAACTTCCTAGAAATCGACATCTTCAACCCGCATACTGTGGGCGTGGGGAGGAGCAAGTACACCACCTACGAGGTTCGCATGAAGGTGGGTGGCTGCGTGTTTCAGGTGCCCTCCCCTCCCCTGGGGAAGCCGGTGTAACTCCAGCCCGAGGCTTCGGCCGCGGCCTACCTGCTCAGTGCTGTTCGTCGCCCTCAGCGACCCCCCACTCCCCCTCCCCTCCCCGAACCCCCCCCTTCCCCCCCCACCGCCCGAGCGTTTGATTCCTTTCGCCGCAATGATTCGTGTGCGACGTTCAACCGTTGCTCGTCAGCCACAACACAGCTATTCACCTTAACCACAGGGGGGGCACTGATTTTTTTTATAAAAAAAAGTGTGGTTTTGCCAATGCGATGGGTTTTTTTTAAAAAAAATAACCTTTTGATTGTTATTTGGGTGTATTCGCAGTTCACGTGCCTTATATCCAGTGGTGTGCGCTGATGGCCCTTCTGATAAGTTTAATATTTGTCGCCAGGACCATGACAGACTGGGGTATTGCCTTCCCCGTCGCTCAATATCTGTAAGGATAAAGATTTCTCTCTCTTGCTGTGTTAAACTATGTTGTGGAGATAATCGATGTTGGTTTTAAGTGCGGGCTTTCCCTGGTGTGTTTGGCCTGCACCCTCCAGGAAATTGGGACGTTCTCTTCTTGGCTGTCACTGGTAGTCTTCTGCTGGTTGCTTATAAATACGCAATTATTACGGTTGCCTGGTTTACCTGATGTGCCCTTTTGAGTTGCTTGCTGATGTTATGCCTTTTTACTGTGGTGGTCCCTGCACTGATATTATTGGTATGGACTTGTTTAGCTGGTATGAGTCGGTGGGAGCACGCTGTACAAGAAGGTGCATAGATCTAACCACCTTGTGATACTTGGTGTTGTGTCTTATGGTTGTTGAACTTGGACAGTTGTGACTCAACAACTTGCATTTATATTGCGCCCTCCGTGCTGGGTGGCGTCTTAGTGCACTTAACAATGGTGGAGGCCAAGGCCGAGCTAGGGGGAGGAGGAAAGTGACTGTAGGTGCGGTCGAAAAGGAAGGTCTTCAGGCGTGACCTGAAGAAGTTGAAGGAGGGGCTGAGGCAAAGGGATTGAGGGAGGGAGTTCCAAAGTTTTGGGGCGTAGGGGCAGAAGGCGCAGCTGCCAATGGTGGAGTGGAGGATTCGGGGGACGCGGAGGAGGCACAACCCAGTAGAGTGGAGGCAGCGGGTACTGCTGTGGGGAGAGAGTAAGTTAGAGAGTTGGGGGTGCCAAGGAATGAAGGGATTTAAACACTAGAGTGAGGACTCCCTATGTCAGCAACTATTCATGATGTATTAGTTGACCCTAACTCTAGTCTGTGGCCACTTCCTTGTAAACTTGAAATGTATAAGTGTTGCTGTATGCCTTAGGGATCTAGAATGCATATTTTTAATATTGAAAATTGGCCACATAGCAAACATTAGGTGTGTGGTTTTATGTTGCGAAAGCTGTTTGCATTGTATTAGTGCTAATGCTGTCAAACTGTATTCTTAATGACCTCTGTGATCAGAGTGGCACAGGATCTGAAATGCTATGTTGGGATTTGGCTATTATGGTCATAATAGTCAAAATTGTACAATGAGAAAACTTTGCACTGTTTCTAATACTAATTGCTCTGTAAATTAAATATCCAGTGTGATGCTCCACCCAAAATGATGGGTGTAGATTCAGTTTGACCTTTAGTATAGATTGTGGGAAAGTCTGCAATTGAGTGATTGCAAATATATGTAGACCTGAGATAGAGGGTATTGCATTGTAATGACGTGCAATAAGAGTAGATATTTGTTTTAGTCACCACACTACCAGACTCTGGTCTGCTGTGCAGGCTAATGAGTGAAGAATAAAGCAAAACATATTGGAGGATTGTTGGTCAGGATATTATGAAAAAAATTCTTTTCCCACACTTATGGGTTATTTAACGTGCACCTGAACAGGCAGATGGACCTTGGTTTAATAGCAGTGAAAGTTAACTTTTTGATCCCTGCGGATGCTTTTGATTAACTGATATAGTAGGTCTTATGGTGAAGGGAATTTGATGCAACTTAGAAATGGATATCGTACTGAGTGCCACAGGATAGGTAGTGTGAGAGTGGTCTAAAATGGATACACAGTTTTTTTATGATGGGGAGAGTAACAGCATTCTTGCTACATTGCCAAAACTAACATTTTAAAGTGTTTGTTGGGATGCTCATTCAGCAACTGTGTTCCTGCCTGATCATGTTTCAGTCTTTACGTAGACTAACTTTGCTCCAGCACATTACTTACTGCATTAGCAATAAGTGTAAGGTCAGTGGAACTCACTTTGGTTCTGTGCTGGGAGGGAACACTCATTTAGTTATCTTGTGTTAGCATTGAGCACTCCATAGTAGAATGTAGAAGAAAAAGTGCTCAACTTCTGGGAATACCACATTAGGTGTTTATCAATTCCAACCAGTCATCTGGTTGCTGAACATTGAATACTTAGCAAAATTGTCTAGTACTCTGGTGCATTGCTAGGGGTGTGCTGCATTGTTGGAAATGCCATCGTTCAGATGAGCCATTAAACCAGATCCTGACTGCTGGCAAGATCTCATAGCACTATATTTTNAAAAAAGTTTCTCCTGGACAACAATTCCCAGATAAGAATTGGTCATTCAACTTGCAGCTGTTTGTGGAACATCGCTGTGTGCAAATTAGCTGCTTAGTTTGCCTACAAAATACGGAGTCACTACATTTTACAGTAAATCATGTGCAGCACTTTCAGATGTCTTCCTAAAATAAAGTGCTATCAAATGTAACAATTATAATAAATTTTGGCTTTTAATATGCACGAACTTCAGAATTGCACAAGATTCAACTTTGTATTCTGTCTTCTATTTACTGAGCAAACGTTTTTCTAAAAGAGCAAGTAACTGGCGTCCTCCAACCTAAAAACCTCTCAAATAGTGTTGAGTGGTTAGCTAATGTTTAAATGTCCAGTGCAAATACAATTCTCAATGATTAACTTGTTCTCTGTCTTTTGATAGATGTCCTCCCAATGTGAAAGGCACTATACAAATGTAATGTTGTTGTTGGTTGGAACTTCCAAAAGTGAAGTATCTCAATTTCCTAGTTGGAATCTATCAACAATCTGGTCATAGATTCAGCTTTGCCCTTGAGAAATGGAAATTTTGGGTATTCAACAACAACAAATTACATTTGTATAGCGTTTTTCACGTCAGGAGAGCGTCCCAAGGCGCTGGGCAGAGTCTTACGTTTAATCTATCAAACCTGGTTTGGGACTGTTTAATATGTTAGTATGATGTAGCATATTTATTTCTCCCCCCTAATTTGTTTCTTTGCTTAATGTTGCTCAGTCTGGTCTTGTATGTAAATAACCACTTACCTGAATATCCTAACAGCCTCCAGATGAAGGTGGATCCAACTACCTTTGTACAAGAATAATACCTCCATGTAATAAACCTTGTTTGGAAGTGCTTTTATTGGGTGTTAGATGTGACTAGCAAACATTTTTGTATATTACCCTAAACAATATGATTTGCTGCGACTATGTTTTTCTAATGAATTGCTCATGTGGCTTCTGAGCTTTTTTAAAAAAGAGCTATATAATGTATCTAAGTGACATTCTGTGAGTTTAAATACTATTTAAGTATTTTATTAATTGTTTTGCTGCTCTCGAACATGCATGCAGTGGTCAGTCTGCAGTAACTGTGTCCATCCAAGGTGAACTCCTTCAGGCAATAACAAGATTACATTTGTATAGCCTCTTTCATGTCGGAAGGATGTCTCAAGGAGCTGGACAGTGTACAGCATTTCAGACCTGAGCTGGGGTCAGGGAGGGGAAGGGGGGTCACAGATGGCATGGTTGAAGAGGGCTTTGAGGTGGGACTTGAAGGAGGCTAAAGAGGGGGTGAGGTGGGGTGATTGGGGGATGGAATTCCAGAGGCTGGGGGCAGAGTGGCCGAAGGCATGCCTCAGATGCTGTCTTCTCTGTAGCAGAGTTTATGCTACGATAGGCTACTTATGTCTCTGGATATACTCTTAACTAGCTGTGTGCACTTTAATCGTGGCTGGGGTTCCTTAAATGGCTATGCTGGAAAATATCCATCCATTGCAATATTGCCTCTATGCATTGATCTGTCATTGGTGAAAACTTCCATTCTTTCAATCCTGGAATGAATGATACCGTGAATAGGTGAAGTTGCCACCAAGCTAGGTTCTTGTATCTTAAATTTCTCAATATCTTGAATGATAAGGAAGACAGTTCATATTGTACTCGTCTCTGTCTCAACATTTCAACTGAGGTAGTTCTGCACCTGGGATAGCTGTTACGAGCGAAACAGGAAGTGGCCCTGAATCCTGGCTCAGTCAACTGCCCACAGCTGAGCAGGTTGTGAATGGAGAGGCCTGTAGACCAGGCTTCCAAGGGACATTGGCTCCTTCAACCCACGTGAAGTACCAGCAGTCTAACCTAAACCCAAAAGAAGGGAGGAAGTGGCTAAGTCCAGTATTGTAATACATGACTCAAATTTTAAATTATTCCTTGTTCCTGATGAGAAATATTTCTACATGTGCATAGTTCATAAAATATCTGGGACAGCAGGCAATTGTACTATAATCTTTTGTTTTCACTTCCATATACTTTCCTGCTTTTTCAAAATCTAGTCGTCATCAGTAAAGTAATCTTTATACTGTACATGGAAACCTTTTAATGGTTTTATTAATTGTAGCATTATCCTAATCTCAGTGATTTCCTTTTTCAGACAAATTTACCCATTTTTAAGCTCAAGGAATCCTGTGTGAAGAGACGATACAGTGACTTTGAGTGGTTAAAAAGTGAATTGGAGAGAGACAGTAAGGTAAGCTGGTATTTACTTTGTGTACGGAAGGGATTGGGGAGTTGGGTGGGGGGGTGGTATTGTGATGACCAAGCTTTTACCTCAGTATTGTTATGAGGTGGGGCTGATGCTAATATTGCAGTTTAAGATCGCACTAACATTTTTATCCATAACTATATATTGTTGACATGCTAAACAATGCATTTAAATTATATTTGGGTAGACTATTAGAACCCATTAATCCAAAAGTTTGTCAGGGGTAAAAGATGCAAGTAATCTCTATTGCTTCCACCTGCAGCAGCCTTCATAAAATTTCTACAAGTCCTTACTTGCTAAGGGGTTTAACTTTGCTTATTATGCATGTGAGTTAGGTAATGCATTCATTTTTAGGATTTTAAGAAGGGCTGAGTTGGAAAATATTCATTTTGTCTACAGTAAATGTTTTTTTAGTGACTTGAATGGTTGGCCCTAATCCAGGTTGGTAGCAGAATGGGGTGGTTATATTGGGATATGTCTGCAGGACGAAAATGAGGGAGGGTGCATATATTGTGCGTTATAGTCTCATTGGATTATCCATGTGATATGGCAGATGTGTAAATCACTGTAAATTGCTCTAAAGATGTTTTGGTTAACCCTGGCTCTTTGGGATTGACTTCTTGGAATGCATTGCTTTATAAATGGAGACTAAACTGGGCAGCAAACTGGCAGATCACCACATGTCAGTGTGTTGTCAGTCACTTGACTTATGATAATGGGGTGCCAGCCAAAGCAGCTTCCTTCCAGCGTGAAGGTAAACCTGAAGCAATGTTTTCATTTCACTTTGCAGTTGATGGTTTTGTGTCTATTCCAGATTGTTGTGCCACCTTTACCAGGAAAAGCTCTTACACGACAGCTTCCATTTAGAGGAGATGATGGAATTTATGATGAAGGTTTTATTGAAGAAAGAAGAGCAGGACTAGAACAGTTCATTAACAAGTAAATAGTCTTGTTTGTCGTGTTAGAAAGATGTTTGTTTTTTTTCTCTCTGGGTGGAAGACTATTCAGCTTATGTCTATGCTGGCTTGGCTTCCTTTTCTCTCTCTAGAAGTAGAAATAATCTCTCCCTATTGACCCTTCCAAAATGCCATATAATTTTAAAGATTTATCATGTTAGTGCTAGATTTCCACTTCACCCATCCGTTAGATATCTACTCATTGCCTTCATCGTGTTCTTTTTAAATGTTACTCAGGTATTTGTAATTCCCTCTTTAAATGTGGTTGTGACCTATGCTTTAAGACCCATTTGTATGGCATTCCATCCTATGTGTTCTCCTCATTTCTGTAGAAATGATTTATTTCATGCTCTTGATTTACCAATCAGTGAAAATGGGTCATCAGCCTGGCTCAGTTTGTAGTAGTCCAAAAGTTATGGGTTTAAGCCCTATATTGGGACTTTTCACATCTATTCAGTGCTGGAGGTAGCTGTCCTTCAGATTAGATGTTAAGGTTCTATCTGCTTGTTCAGGTGAATGTTAAGGATCCCATGCCACTATTCAAAAATACCTTGTTGAAGATCATTTGGCAGCTGGCAATGATTAGGCTTGTACAATGCATGCCAGCCTTTATTAGGGATCAATATGAAGGACCTTTGCCCACTAACCTTTGTCCCTTATTTCTCTGTCTAGAATTGCTGGTCATCCATTGGCTCAGAATGAGCGCTGCCTGCACATGTTCTTACAAGAGGAAACCATTGACAAGAATTATGTTCCTGGTAAAGTACGCCAGTAGTCTAGCACACTTGGTCTTCCCTTCATTCCCAACCTCCAGTGTGAATTACATTTATTTTTACACTAAAAACTATATATACTCTTGCTTTCATTCTTGTATTGTTTGTCAACCTTTCAAGACTAAACCATGCTGTTCTGACAGTATTAATGTGGCTTCTAACACCCATTTCTATTTATCTAAAAAGCTCCTTAACTTTAGAAATGACTACATTAAGACTCTACACGGGTTACTGCTGAATTGCTTGGATTTTTTTTTGAGAGCCCAGATACTATGTTCTGAATCACTGACCTGATTGTCTAAACTTCCTATTATTTCACCCCCTTCCCTCTCCCTGTGGTTGGAGGGGTAATGATTTAAGTTCAGCTCACAAATTGCCAGATAGTATCTGTTCCTAATTGTGTAAAATTTAAGTATGAACCGCCATTGTCCCGGTGTACAATCGTTGAGCTGTCCTGCAAATATATTAAAATGCTTCTGGTGAACAACTTGTCTGAAGACTCATTGAGACTAACTTGAATGAGTCTCTGAACATAATTGTGTTTGATCAGGGGAGAGGAGCGGTCATTTCCCCCCCCCCCCCCCCCCCCCCGACCCAGATCCTCACGATGTTGGTGTTTGCTCTACTCTGATGTACTACACAAATGGGATCATACTACACTCTAGAAGAACCATGAAAAGGACCAAGAGGAGAAACTCCTTGGACTAGACTAGTAGAGCTCTACAGTTTTAATAGTTGTCACAAGATTGTACTAATCTGGTGCTAATCCTTTAAATAGCATTGGTAAACTGTGAGCCATTATCAATGAAAGCTGTGTCTACAGCTGAGGTTGGACCCAAGCTTCACTTATTTTTGCAGTTTATACAATCGGCAAACCAAGTTCATCTATTTTAGGATTGTGCCCGGATTGTTCCTCTGCTTTGTTTTCAGACTTGGGATGTCTGGATTTCTGTCTGGTGAAAATGAACTGGGTATAGAAAATCAGATACCTGTTCAAAATATTTGGCAAATGATTCAGTTAACTGACTTTCTACTGTAGAAAGTATTATTGTCATATGCTGATGTAAATCTCAAACTTATTTGAATCTAAATTGGATGTAAATTCCACTGATAGAACCTGGGCAGGCTTCAGGAGAGGGCTGAATTTTCTTGGGTGGTGTCTAAGTGGTATTAGACTTGAGCTGAATAACTGGCCTAAATATGATGCTAAAGTCTCCGATTAACAATGCTGTAGGGAGCTCAGTGATAAGGGAATGGTTACGCTGGAAACGTCATGTGATTGTTTGGTATTTGAAGTGATTGTTATAGAATAGGCTGAAGTATTCCAGTCCTAAAATGACTTCAGTGCTGAATTTGGCTTGTCGTTCCCGGCCCTTAAATTGGGAGGGATATACAGTGAGAATGGACCTCTGAAGAAAACATATTTGTCAATGGTGAGTGCCCCCAAGTAACTGGTTCTATGACTTCTGCAGTAGATGCTTCTATGCTGGTTAGGCCTGGTGAGGCTGGTTCGATATAGTGCAGCTTTTTAGTGGGAAGTTTCCAGCTCAATCTCTTTGCCAACCAAGTTATTGGTAACTAACTTTACAGTGGCATCTTTTCCATTGATCACATCAGATCCTCTCTCCTGTATTTAGAATCTGTCAAAGGACTTACTGACACAGAAAATTACTGCTTCAAGGTAGTGTTTTATCTCCGAGCACTGTTCTGATATGGTGACTGACATTTGAAACTCCCATCACACATCATGACTGCGTTTTGACTGTGCTGCTCTGGGACAAACTTGTGCAGGGGAGAATAGGATTTATTTGTTGGAAAGAGAAGGGCTATTTATTGTACAGCACCGCACCCTCTAGGCTCATGTTGAAATGAAATTGGGAAGAAGGATGTAAATAGGTTTGAGGATTGACCAAACTACATAACTCACCTCGCTGTATTTTGAACAAACTGATTACAATATCCAATTGGAAAACCTGGATATTTGCCTTTTGAGTGGAAAGGCTAAATCCATTATCCCAAACAAATTGTGGTGTCCACAAGTATTGTGCTAGACATTTAAATGTGTCCAATCTACAATAATGGCCACTAGATTCACCTAGCCACACAGGATACTGGTGTAGGTCCTGTGGTTTGGTTCTGTTTGCCAAAGATTATTGTATAAATTTTTCTTCCATTACTTCAAGCTAATAGCAAGTCTCCTAGTACAGTGTGCTTGACTGGGTGAGTTCCTTGTCAATTGTTTGTTTGATTGGATGTTCTATTTCTGGTGGCTTTATTTTATTTAGATGCCTTCATCTGTTGCTTGGGAAGGAGAATTCTTGCTATATTAAATGTATTTCTCTTGATCCAAAGTGATGTGATCTGTCTAAAGTAACATGTCAAGTTATGTTCATATTAAACCACAATAAAACCACAGCTAGTCTAAGGTGGTCCTTTTGTGATTTGTGCATATTAATATTGGGGATTTTAAGTTGCAGCACAAACATCCAGCTTCAATGCCTGTCACAATAACTGCAGCAGAATGTTTTTTTTCTGCTGAAGGTGGTACTAACTGTAATCATTTATCCATTAACAAGTGAGTGGAAACTTTCTAAAATCAAACTGTCAATGCAGCAAACTAGGAAAATAACTAAAATAATTGTGTCCCACTTCCACATGTTAGCAAGTGCGTCACTAAGCCTCATCTAAATCACGTTTCAAGATGGAAAATACCCAAATCGTAATACTCAGAATAAAGAATTTATTCAAGCTTGTTTATTCTTAAATATGAATCTCCTGAGTACAAGTTCCTTAGACTGCTAAATGAGCATTCTGTTCCTTATCTTATAAATTGTCAACCTACCTAGTCTAGTTTGTACACCTCTCTAATGTATTTTATTTTGATGCTGAGGTGAGCCAGTTGGGCTGAGTTGGTGCCCTAGTCCTGTTTGCTCAAAGAAGGGTGATAGTTAGAACATTCTTTTACACTCTTTTAGAATGTTAGAAAGCAAATCAATTTAACTTTGCTTGAACGGTTTGAGTGTACAAAGTAATCTCTTGGGAAAAGGAATGTTGTGTAGTGTCGATAAGACCCTCCTCTTCTCACCGTGCTTTTGATCTCCCTGCTTCACCCTCCCCCACCCTAACCCTCAGCTCAGGTCCATAATTCTGTCTGTCCAGCGCCTTGGGACGTCCTCCAGATGTGAAAGGCGCTACACAAATGTAATTTTGTTGTTTTGGGAAAACTCGTGAAAAAATGGCTGAAAGGTTATCCTCTTCAAGTAACACGAGCTGTATGGGTTTTGTGAGTAAGTGACCTTTAGTGACCCAAAGTCCTACTACTGCCCACTGTGGTGAAAGCTGTCAGCCATGTATTTTAACCATTGAGCCTGAGAGAATTGCAATGTAAAAAGCTCCAATGTCATTTCACCAAAGTTCTGGAAGGCTGTCTTCGAAGCTCAATATTTTCGTAAGACACTAAAGTCATGGCTGTCCAATGGAAATGCAAGGATGGCTCGAGTGAGATGGAGCAGGTTCAAATTGTTCTGTCTTTCTTTTCCACTCTTACTCAAATCTTACAGCAATAGCTCTTGGCTGGAGGTTGGTGAATATCTAATTCAGGCTCAGAAACAGGCTCCAAGGAATCTTTGCTTCTTTCCATAACCACTTCAATCAAACATCTATGGAGTAAACCCAAAAATACAAGGTTTTTAACATTGAAGTTACTTTTTAACCAAAAACTCATCCAAAAAGAAATAATATTTTACAGTAACTGAAATCTAGTGACCTTTTTTGCAGCAAATAAATAATCCTTGAGTGTGATACAACGTTTTATCATTGTTGATGTCTCAAAAGTGCTTCGCAGAATATACCGTAAAGTGTTGGGACTGTGTGTATTGTGGGTGAAACACTGCACCCAATTGCGCACACCAGTGTCCCACAATGAGCTGTGGATTGAGTGACCAAATTATTTTATATATAATAGATATAATTTGGGGCTTATTATCCCTGCACGGTCCTGTAAACATACATGAGGTGAATAATCAAGAGAAGTGTTAGCTGGGACACCAGAAGAAACCTTTTTTAAAAAAAAGAATAGTATCACAGGATTTATGATCTCCACCTGAACAGGCAGCTGGGACTTTGGTTTAAAGTCTCATCAGAAGAACAGCAAGTCCAATGATTCAGTGCTCCCAGGTTTTGCACTGGAGTGTCAGTCTATACAGTGAGCTCAAAGACCTAATAAGGGACTTGACCCCACAACCCCTGTGATAAGTATGTTACCAAAGAAGGCAAGCTGATGGTGTTGCACTTAAACTAGCGGTGTCTGAATCTTGAGGTCTGAGTAACTCGACAAGAGTAACTATCTTATAGCTTTTATTTACCCGACAGATTCTTCCAGTTGCTCGTTTCTCTTGACCGAAATCTCTTTCCAACACAGAAAGTTGCATTCACTGCAAAACTGGTCCACTCTTTCCCTCGTCACCGCCCACTCCTTTAAATCACACTGAAATAAAAGACCAATGCTTGAGCATGTGAACTTTGAGGTGCCTTTTAATGAATAAATGTGACATTGTTATAAGTGGTTGAAATAGAACACGTTCTCTCGCCTATAATAGCTGTGTGTGTGTGTGCATTGGCCCATTCCATCTGTGAGTTTAGCTCTGAACAGATATCTATCTAGGGTTGTAAGACCAAGGAATCTTTGGTTTATGCACATCAATGTCAGGGACGTTACTGCTTTCATCTAATGTCAGCATCAAGAATGCCTAGGTCAAGCTTCCCAATGGCCACTACCATTGGCCTAGGGCAACCTTTCCCCCACAAAATATATGGTCACTCCACTTTACAGTATATTCTGTGAAGTGTGTTGAGATGTTTCAAAGATGTGATATGGCCCTATTAAGTGCAAGGATTATTATATTAATGTAGACCAAAGCAACCAATCCATACCAAATACCTGCAATAACAGCTGCTGAATCAATTGTTACTATTTTAGTAATAAGTCCTCTTGGGTCTCAGTACCTTATTGGCCAGCAGGATGCATGGAATGGGCATCTCATATTTGTCACAAACTTCGGAATCCACAGCTTCTTTTAGCTCCTTGCAGAATTCAAAGGACCTCTCGGATGTCATATCAAAGATTATCAAACAGGCTGCTGCATTCTTGTAGAAAGCTCTGGTCATCTTTGTTGTGTCTTCCTGCCCTATCAACGACAAAGGGATGTGTTTAAAGAGATTCACTATTTTGAGCCACCCTTCACAGTGTTGCTGTTGTGATAATTGCTTTGAATTGAGATTAGAGTAGGCGACTCCGAGTGGGGGAGAGGGGAGTAAGCACCAGACAAACACGGTGGGTCAAATAGCCACTGCAGATGTGCAGCGATTTCTATGATTTCAGGTGGACTTTTCCCTTCTCTCACTTCTGAAGTGGGAAAGACTTGGTTCACGTGAGGAGATGCAATGTTCATAGGACTTAAGACTGGTTCCCCGTTACCCCGTCCTCCTGTCATGAAAGGCGCTACATAAATACAATTTGTTATTGTGTGTAGACTAAACTGGAACTGACTATAATCTTTACCTAGCAGTCTTACCTTGAATATCCCAGAACTGCAGCCTCACAATGTCATTTTCTGTCCACTTGATGGTTTTCATTGCAAAGTCCACTATGATTAAAAGGATATGTCACAAATTAGAACAGTGATTACTACATTTTATCACATCTATTTAGTTAGCTCTGTCAAGTGCATGTAGAGACCGTGTCTTTTGTAAGCAATCTTACAAGCCAAGATGCCCATCGCAATGTCCCAAAACAGCTGTGAAGTGAGTGACCAATTTTATCTGTGGGATAGTCAGGCAGGACAGTGAGAAAGAGAAACTCCCTTTTCGAGTAGTGCCATGGGATCTTTAACCTGAACGAGTACACACCGCTCAAAATCCAATACAGGATTTAAACCTGCGATCTTCTGGCTTGAGGCGAGACTGCTAGCAACCAAGGCAGGATCACGATGGTTAAACAAATATCCGACAGCGCTGCCATCACAAAGATCAACAGGATGTGTCATGGTCAGCAAGTGGAGCTGACAAGAATGAAGGAACCAGAAGAGGAAGAATATCGGGTCCTGAGGAAGGAACCTGAGGTCTTAGTGGGTTGTATCCACTGATAAAAGAACAAAAACTTTTTATAGCAACCTTTCATGTCAAAGAGTCTCGAAACATTTCCTAAATCATTGCTGCTAAGTGTAGTAACTGCGTTTGTAGCCGGAACTTGAACAAATTGATCTTATCTGGAGGCATGTTGGTCGGGATGCAGATTCAAAACTGAGCTGCAGTTGAAAGATGAACAGACCCAGTATTGTAAACAGAGATTTTAATTGAACAAACCAATTAAGATTTGAGAAGGATTTCACCCTACCCAATTCTTAAATGTACACCTGGAAAGAGTATATTAATCGTCCTTCTATTGAGACATGGAGACATCACAAAGATTGCTATTGCAGTGCATATTGGATCATATTTTTTGAGACCAAATTAGTTGTGAAATGGCAACAGGAGGCCATCAACTCAGAATACTATTGGAAATAAAAAGGGGGGAAACTTGCCTTCCCACCCCCCCACCCCTGCCCATGCCACCAACAACTAATCAAAGACTTCACTAAAAACCAGAGCTCACCACAACTTCCACTTTACAATATATCCTGTGAAGCGATTTGAGATGTCTCAACGATGTGATAAGGTGCTATATCAAATGCAAGCGTTACTACTATTATTTATCTACGTGCACTCCTAGAGCATCTTTCACACAGGATGAACATCTCAGAACTTCAGAGGGAGCAGTGAGAGGAAGGAGGATTTAAGTGTTGAACAAAGGTGCGGTGAAGAAGGTATGTTTTTAATGTATCAAGGAGGAAGAGAGTCAGAGTATATAAATGTAATTTTGTTGTTGTGAGAGGAACAGGGAGTGAAGGGGTTTGTCACAGACATCAGAGGGCAACACTCACCTCCCACCGTAGCCTTGTAATTCTCAGTAAAGAGTCCGTTCACGTAGCGTTGAATAAAGGAAGTCTTTCCCACCCTGAACTGGCCGATTACAATCACCTTAAACAAGTGCTCGGTGCTGCTTTTCGGCAATGAAGTCTGCATTTCCAAGATCATGATGCCTGATTTCATACTTCACAAGATTTTCCTCCAAAGTGGCCGTTCAGACTCGGGGCAAGCCGACACGAAAGCGTGACCGAGAGGACGGAATATTTTTTCCGTGTGATGTACAGCTGCTCTGTGCTCACGACTTTGATGATAGTTCTTTGTTCCTGAACGGAATTTTAGAGGAAATGAATTTTTGACAACGCTCTCTGAATGCAATGAGACAAAGCAAAAGTTGTGAGTGAGGAGAAGAAAACCAAGGGTCATTTCTGCTTTTTAATTCTTGAATGTGAGCTATTTAAAGGCTGAGGGAAACTCCAAGTGCAAGGATGGGAGCAGAGCCAGTGAATAGGCTATGTGTGTGGGATTTTTCACCAAGTTTTCTGTATATTTTTGCCCACAAATATAGTCAATTCACTTTACGGTATGTTCTGTGATGCGCTTTCTGAGACATCTAGAAGACATGAAAAGCGCTATATTAAATGCAAGGATTATTATTAGTATTAATCACAAAAGCAATGAGCCCTGTATGAAATCCCAGCATGTCAGTATATCCCTAATAATTGCTGGAAGGGAATGTGCTCTCTCTCTCTCCCTGAAGGGAAGCATCCTGCTTACTAATTCCAGAGAGTACCCAATGTGCTTCCTGATAGCAGTTGCAGCAGCTGTTGTTTTGCCAAACCTCTGGTCCGGTTTACTCTAAGATGACGGTTAGTTACCGTAATTGGATTATTTTTTTATTTCACAATATCATGGAGCCCACAGAACGTTCCACAAACTGCCCTCATAGCGAAAGCTCCTAAGTTAGAAGTAATGACAAATCATCGTTTTTCGCTTCCTAACTTCCTGGGACCTGGTGCCAAAGACTGTTGACTACTCGGCCCAAGGAGCCGACCCTCACCCAATATCAGCCCCCCCATCCCATCCCATCAACAGCCCATAGCAGGAAACCAAACGGACGTCCCTCCACTCCACCCTACAGCACAGTCCAATTGCTTGGCTTCCAGTGACTCCACTGCCCCAAACAAGGCTTCATCATCATCCCGACTGAGGGCCACAGTCTCCGTGTTAGATGTTGCTCAGCGCTTTGGGACGACCTCCCGATGTGAAAGGCACTTTACAAATGTGATTTTGTTGTTGTTGCTCTCAATAAACCAGCGTTTGTCAAATTAGTTTCGCCCACAAAATACACAGTCACTACACTTTACAGTATATTCCATGAAGCGCTTAGAGACGTCTCAACAATGGGGTAAGGCTCAACGTCAAAAATGCGATGATTATTATTAATGTTAGTGGTGCAGTACCTCTCCAGCGCTCAGTAACTTGGGCTGTGGGTGTGAGGGGCCGGTGGGGGGCGCTGTGGGGGTGTGGTGCCGGTGGGGGGCGCTGTGGGTGTGTGGTGTGTGGGGGCGGTGGGGGGGTGGGGTGCCGGTGGGGGGCGCTGTGGGTGTGTGGTGCCGGTGGGGGGCGCTGTGGGTGTGTGGTGCCGGTGGGGGGCGCTGTGGGTGTGTGGGGCCGGTGGGGGGCGCTGTGGGGGTGTGTGTGTGTGGGGCCGGTGGGGGGCGCTGTGGGGGTGTGGGTGGGGGCGCTGTGTGTGTGGGGCCGGTGGGGGGCGCTGTGGGTGTGTGGGGCCGGTGGGGGGCGCTGTGGGTGTGTGTGGGGCCGGTGGGGGGCGCTGTGTGTGTGTGGGGCCGGTGGGGGGCGCTGTGGGGGTGTGTGTGTGTGTGTGTGGGGCCGGTGGGGGGCGCTGTGGTGCCGGTGGGGGGCGCTGTGGGTGTGTGGTGCCGGTGGGGGGCGCTGTGGGGGTGTGGTGCCGGTGGGGGGCGCTGTGGGGGGTGAGAGCCGCTGGAGCAATGGCGGCCGCGGCGGCGGAGGCGGAGGCAGAGCTGGAGTTGCCGCCCGCGGTCGTGGCCGAGAGCAGCGGCGTCAGGAACAGTAACATCATCATCATCGGCGGTCGCGGCGGAGAGGCCCCGAGTCTGTCCGACATGTTTGAGGGCGGGTGGCGGGCGCTGGAGGAGGCGGAGACCAGCGACCAACCGTCCAACTCCAACGGCTTCCAGTACACAGTGCGGCGCGGAGTGGGCCTTCTGGAGGAGGCCACGCGCCTGGTCAGCCAACTGGGGCTGTTCAGGTACCCGGGGGGGGGGAGAGGGGGGGGGGGAGAGCGGGGCTCCGGGGGGGAGGGGCCCGGGGGGGAGGGGGGGCACGGGGGGGAGGGGGGGGGGGGGAGGGGGGGGCTCTGGGGGGGGGGAAGGGGAGGGGGCCCGGGGGGGGGGGGGGGGCTCCTGGGGTGGGGGGGAGGGGGGCTCCTGGGGTGGGGGGAAGGGGAGGGGCTCGGGGGGGGGCTCCTGGGGTGGGGGGGAAGGGGAGGGGGGGAAGGGGAGGGGGCTCCTGGGGTGGGGGGGGAAGGGGAGGGGGGCTCCTGGGGTGGGGGGGAAGGGGAGGGGGGCTCCTGGGGTGGGGGGGGGGGGGGGGGGGGGGGGGGGGGGGGGGGGGGGAGGGGAGGGGGCTCCTGGGGTGGGGGGGAAGGGGAGGGGGGCTCCTGGGGTGGGGGGAGGGGAGGGGGGCTCCTGGGGTGGGGGGGGGGGGGGGGGGGGGGGGGGGAGGGGAGGGGGGCTCCTGGGGTGGGGGGGAAGGGGAGGGGGGCTCCTGGGTGGGGGGAGGGGGGGAATCCCGGGGGGAGAGTGGGGGGTGTTTGGTGGGTGATCCAAAGAAAGGATCAGGTCCCGATGGGGCCCTTCAGGCTAAAGGTCTTCTGCGTCCTGACCGCTCAGAGGTCAGTGGGTATCGCTCCGCGTGTGGACTCGGGGTTCAACCCGGGACTTGGGGGGTTCAGGCCACATGTTGGGGTTTGAGCTCACAGTCTGGGCTGAGGGGGGGGGGGGGGGGCGTTCCATCGCCAGCGCTGCTGTCCTTGGGATGAGACCAAACTCCCCGTCTGCCCGTTGAATATCCTCTGGTGCTATTCAAAGACGTGAGGGGGTTTCTCTCCCACCCGAGTGGCCAGCCCACCAGCACCCCCCCACCCCCCAACCCCCCACCCCCCCAAATAAAACCGGTCGCTCATTTCATGGCTGTTTGCGTGATGTCGCTGTGGGCGAATTGGCTGTCGCTGTCGCCTACAAATACAGTCACCGCGGTTCAGAGTAAAACCCCGTGAAGCGTTTTGAGCCGTCCTGACCGTGTGATAAGTCGCTGTAACGCGTTGCAAGGGGTTGTGTTTATTTTTGCGCTCTGCCCCTGTAACTGTTTCTTTGCGTGTGTGTGTGTGTGTGTCGCTCGCTCTCTCGCGGGGTATGCACTTGCCTGGATCAGATCGCTCCCGCTCACATTGCCGCACCAGCCTGACTGATAGTTGTGAGGAGGTTTGAGCGGCATTGAGCGACTGTGCAGCTTAGTACAGTGCGTGGGAACGTAAGTCTGACTTCACTTACTGTAGACTAAACTTGCTTTTTATCTCTTTCCAGTCGTAACGAAGAGCTGGAAGAGATAGCGACAGCAGACGTTAAGTACCTGTTACTCCCAGCCTTGCTCGGAGCTCTCACCATGAAACTGAGTAATTCCGCAAAGCGCTTGGAACACGTACAGAAGGCCCGGATTTATTTTACAGACTTCTTGAAACGTTGCAAAGACTATAATGTCATGGTCTTCGAACTCCCCAAAACGGAGGAGAACAGCGACGACAGTAGCAAGGCGCTCGCTCGACCCACTGCTCCAGCAGCCATCAGTCAGCCCAGCCTCCTATCGATGGCAGCGAGCAGACAGAGTAAAATCGAAAGGTACCGTTCTTCATTTTCAAAATATATAATAATTTTCGAAACCTTATACTCATTGAGTGAGCGTAAGTGCACGTTAACGTGGACAGCAATGCTCTGAAATAACTATTTTCCACTCTTCTCCCTCCCCATGTTTTTGATTCACTACCAACCAGGTATAATCAGAAGAAAGAAACTGAAGCCAAATTGAAGGAGATTAATTCGCTCGTCTCCTCCGGAAAAGCAGACGACGAGCTGACGAGAACGTTTTATGGACTGAACTTGAAGCGGTGGATAAGCATAAGCATCGAAGAGATCGAGAGCATAGACCAGGAGATTCAAATCTTGAAAAGAATGATTGGAGTAAAACGGGTACGCTGTTTAATATTAATCTTGTGTGAATAATAATAGTCCTTGCATTTGATATAGCGTCTTCTGATGTCTTTGCGATGTCCCAAAGCGCCACTGTCAAGCGCTTTCGGGCACTATCCTGCGTGAGGGCCGCTGTATAAATGCAAGTTGTTGTTGTCTCGAAGCGTTTCACGGAATATACTGTAAAGTGAATTGATTGTATATTTTGTGGGCGAATATTTAATCTCCCTCCCCCCACCCCCCCGGCCAGCGTGCGTGAAGGGCTTTGAGATGTCCTCCTGATGTGAAAGCTGTCATATAAATGTACATTGTGTTGTGTACTTGCCTGATACGGAAGCAAAAGATAGGAATCATTCCTTTGCACATAGAGATCCTACTGCACTGGCCTGGGTTTAGCTGCTCTCTCCCCCTCCCCCCAGCTGTGAAAGGGAACTGTTGGACAAGCCCAGGTCGTTATCCTGACATATAACCTCACAAGCAGCTTTTAGTGTGTAAGTGTTATGGCTGTACTTCCAAACATGCTCATAGTGTCCGTCCCACTTTCTTTCAGCTGTCTGTCTTCACTGTATCTAGACCACGCTGGAATTGGCACTTAAGTTGCTTTTAAAATGACTTTTTTTGAGATGTAAAGGGTTCCTGTGACTACTAATCTGTTTGTTTCCTGAGCAGCCCCAGCCTCCAAGGCCACAGCGAGCTCCGATGCCACCCTTCATCCTAACCCGAAATGCAGCTCAAGCCAAGTAAGTACTGAACGTAGTAAATAAGTACTGCATTAGTCTGTCCTGTTTCCTGAGTCTCAAACCAACCAGGGCCCTGGCTAGAAGCATAGAAATTTACAGCGCAGAAGGAGGCCATTCAGCCCATCAAGTCTTCACTGACTCCTGTGAAGCGATTTGAGATGTCTCGGTGACGTGGTATCAAATGAGAGAATTATTATATTGTGTGATTGATTCCGTAGAGTGTTTGGCGCTGGGTACCCCAGTCTCGCTACAATGACTGTTGATGATTGGTACGAGGAGCACAAGAAGCACAGCATGCTGCCTGATCAGGGAATACCCCGAGGCCGGCCAGGTAAGAGTAACAATACCTTCGGAAGCTGCTGATTCCTCTGCAGAACCACAATGTACATTTACACGCTGGCTGCCAGGCTGCGGGAGCTTTCACACAGTGTTCTGCTTTCCCAGGTGAGCAGCAGGATGACAATCAGGAAACCGCAAGCAGCAGCGAAGCGGACGCAGACGACGAACAAGCCCTGCGGAACGCCCGGGAGAAGGACGAGTGGAAGGACACACACCGGCGGGGCTACGGCAACAGGCACAACATGGGCTAACTCCCTGTGCAAGCCGCAGCCCGAGTCACAGCTCGGCCGAGAGCCTCTGAAGGTGCACCGTGACCCGCAACCTAAACCAATATGGTTTGTTATTTGCACCGCTCCTATTTCTATCCCCTCTCCCCCCCCATTGTGAGGACATTCCTTGTTTCTCAGTCTCAGAAACTCAATCCCGTTGTTGGTGGTGCCTTCTATTATTTAAAACAAAATGGTTTAGTGACTGCTGTGAAGCTACGGTGGAAGCCAAGTCATGTTGCTCTGTGCTCTTTGAAACTTCCAGCAATGTAGTAAACTGTAATAAGAAGAGGATTTGCCAGTGGGATTGGGAACATCATACACAAATGATGGTCTCAGGAGAGTGCTTAAGAATTGCATAGTTGTAATATTAAAGTCAAATTTAGTGAGGAGCAATTAATAGGGTCAGAACACCCATGTTTTGTTCTGAACCAGAAATTCCGATCTGTTTGCCAATTTTCAATAGTATTGTTAGTTTAAAAAAAACTGGTGAATTCTTAGGAAATGGCTTTTTTATTTGCGTTGGAAATTATTTACTCCTGGAATCGGCATCAGCCGAATTCAACCCGAGCGCATTTGAAACTAGTTCCAGTGGTGAAGACATCCATCGCACTTCCTCACAGCAGCTGGACGGAACTCGCTAAGAGAATTGATTATTTTTTCCGTGTTGTAAATTATAAGTTGCATAATTAAAAAAAAACTTGACACCTTGGACGTCCTTTTTAGTGTCCTCACTAACTGGCTTAGCTCTAACATAGAATTCCGCCCTTGCCTCTTCACTCGCTCCTAACCGTGCGTGATTCTGTAGCGATCATTGCTACCCTGTTAATGTTTAGTTTCATAATAATAATAATCTTTGCATTTGACATAGCGCCTTATCTCGTCTTTGAGACGTCTCAAAGCCCTTCACAGGATATACTGTGAAGTGAACTGACTGTTTTGTGGGCGAAATGCGGCAGCCCATTGCGCACAGCAGTTGTGGATTGATTGACCAAATTTTTGGGGGGAGGGATTATTCTGAGAAAAGCGATCTACCAATCGACTAACAAGCGGATTCCTACTTACTGCTCGGTAAACAGACATATGGAGTAAGGAAAGTTGAATGTAACCTACATGAATTTCTGTAACAAAGAAAGAGGCGGGTGATTAATTTATCTTTTAATAAGAACATCGAAGATAAGTCGAGGTCAAACATACAAAAATACAATTAGATGTGAAATCCCTGCAGCACACTCATGCGTTTTGGTTTCTTCTACAAATAACTGTGATGAATGTAAAAACAACAACAAATTGGATTTATAAAGCACCTCTCGTGTCAGGAGGACATCCGAAGAAAAATATTTGTTCCCTGAAATGATTCTATTAACATTTAAAAATTGACTGTTGATCTACTCAAAACAAAGATTTAAAGTGAAATGTTATTATCTAAACGATTTTCCAGCTTTCCTTTACTCACTAAAGATTCTCCTGGACTTAACATGTCCTGTTGAAATTCCGCTAAATGGAATGATCTTAAAACTAATACAACAAAAACTTGCCTTCCCATGCAGTCTGAGCAAGAACAACAATAACAACAAATTACATTTGCATAGTGCCTTTCACATCGGGAGGACATCCTAAGGTCCTGGACAGTCGAGGATTTGCACTGGGATCAGGAGGGTTGGAGGGTACGGGTAGGAGGGTGACTGAAGTCGCGGTGGAAAAGATGGGTCTTGAAGGAGACCAGAGAGGGGGCGAAGTGGAGGGACTTGATCAATGAAGCAGTTGATATAGGGTTTGAACCCAGGAGATCACAGGTTGTAGGTCTTAGATGTGTCATGTTACACCACCTACTACAGTCTGAGGTGAACATGTTCCTTTGGGTCAAAGTGAGCAAAGTCCAGTTATTGGCAGAGTTGCTACTTCAAATTCTGTTACAGATCTGGTTCCTCCTGCCCCTGCCTGCCTCCTGCCATCAGTTTACCAAAAATATTCTCCTGAACCACTCCTGTGTCGGTCTTAAGTGTAAAGCAAAGCAGAAAAACATATATGCATCAATATTGTCCCATCATTTAAACACGATTGAGTGACGGTATTGTATGTGAAGGGCACTATATAAGTGCAAGTTGTTTTAATGGGCCCCAAAAAATATGTAAGTGTTATTGAACCTAGGTTTATTCTGCAGTATATTTGACTTAAGCTATCCACCTTAACATGTTCAGAATACCACAAAAAGGAACTATTCTCAGAAGTTGAGTGCATGGATGAATGCACAGTGCGTGGCAGAGTTTCAAGTTTACAGTTCATCGTGATCATTACTTTTGGGTTTGACCAGTCTTCCGATGAGCAATATGGAGTTGGTTTTGTTGTCTCGGATCAGGAAGATGTAAGCGTGATCGGCATAGAAGACTTTGGCGGATTTCGTTATTTCTGGGGAATTCCAGTCCTGGTCAAACTGGTTTCCTTCCGTGTCCCAGTCGATAGCTGTGGCATGTAACATGCCTGACAAGTGCAAGTTTTTCTTACCCGTGATACCAGAGAAGTCAGCTTTGTTCTTGTCCACAGCCTCGGTCAAGCCCAACTCTTGCAGGTATTTCTAAATGGCAAAGAATAAAAACAAGATTCTAAAATTTATTTCAAATTCCTGAACTGTCCATTTTATTTAAAAAAAGGCGTATCAACTTCTTGGTACATCACACTGGCAAACGGCCTTACAGAAGCAAAGGTTCCTGAGATGATCTATAGCACTACAATTGTCCTCAACTAGGCTAACGTTGGCGGTGGGGGTGGTGGTGTGGGGAGGGAGTAGAGGTGAAGTCAGCTATCATTACTGCTCTCAACAATCAATGAACATCGACTGCATGTTATATTATTATTATTATGTTTAATGGTGGCAGAACAAAACCTGAGTCTCCAGTCCATCGGGTACTTGAGAGGCTCAGGACAGCTCTTACCTGTAGATCGTGGCTGACCTCCAAGTTGACTTTGGGGAGAGAGATGGAAACTGTGTGTCTCTCCAGCTTGCCGATCCAAGTATTGAGCTGCTCTTTTGTCAGCAACTTCTCCAGTCTGGCCAGTGGCTCTATGTGTTTGGTCATTATAAAGATCATGCTGGAATGTTTGTGACTCAGAGGCAGCTCCAGCACCTGAAGTGAATTAGCGTTGTCTTCATAGTAGTTGCACAATCCTGAAAATTTCAATTAGCGATACCACGTGAGGAATGGTAAACAACAACAATTCGCATTTAAATAGCGTCTTTCAGGTCAGGAAGACCCAAACATCAAGTCTCAGCAACCTTCCTTTGATTTGGAGCCTTGTCTTGTGAGCACATTTAGATGTTAGGTTTGCTCTGTTGGGAGTTACATTCTCGACTCCTGATCAGAAGTTGTAAGATCCAAACTCAACAACAACAATTTGCATTTATACAGCCCCTTTCATGTCTTCGGGGACTTACTGACCTTGGTTGTGAAATGCTTTGCAATGTTTCAACGTGATATATGTTGCGGGCAGTCTCGTTACTATGTCGAAGGGCGAGAATTATTCTTGTGTAGTTCACAAAAGAAACACAAGTTTGCACCGTCATTAGATATGACAACGTGAAATCCGAATTAGATAATTCTGACACTTACTTATTTGGTGCATCATCGGGATAGAAACTGTGTGGGTTCGTGTGATTATGAATCCTCTTTTATCAACCATTGTCTGTTGGAAACTTTCATCCCAATGAGCTGTCAAAGAGAACAAAGAGCATCACATTTATAGCCTGGTATTTGCCTATGAAATATATTTATATAGACTCTTGTGTTTCATGACACATTGTTGACTTTTGATTGCAATACTCACGCTTGAAGTAATTGGCATTGATGATAAAGGCACCGTCTGTGCTGGACAGGGCTGCTGTGATTTCTGACAGTTTGCCCTCTGTTGCTTGGGAGGCCCATTGGTTGATGGATCGCAATGCGCTCCTCTGGTCTTTGAAGTTAATCTGGGAATGGTCGTACTTGTAGTGGGTCTTGGTTTTCTGAACAAAGTCATCTCGGACGTTGACCGAGGTAGGTGCGTAGAGGCAGTTGCCAATCTTCCAGGTGGTGTTGCGGGCAGTCTCGTTACTGACCTCGTTAAGAAGTTCCGAGAAGGCAGAGTGGAGGGTGTCATCGTTCAGGTTGATGTTGAGGAGGGACTTCACTTGCTTGGCTGTTTTATCTTTGGCTCCCATGGACATCACACCCAAAGACGAAGCCACCACCACAGGTGAGAAGAGAAGGTTCTGAGATCGCAATTTCTGGTCCTTGATCATGGTCTGGTATAGGCTGAGACCCAGATTTACGGTGCTATCTCCCAGGATGGGACCTTGCTCTTTCAGCAGCACAGGCTCTGATTTTACTACACAAATCAGCAAACTTAGGAGAATCAGTTTCATCCCCATGGTTTCCTCCAGTGAACACAAACCTGTAAGACTGATCATGAGAAAGCGACGTGAAAGGTCAAGGCCAGAGTTAGGGGCACCTCTGAGAAGAGGAAAGTTTTGATAAGTGGAAGAAATATTTAGGTGGCACCAAACTCACAGAATCCTACACCGCAGAAAGAGGCCATTCAGCCTATCATGCCTGTGCCAGCTCTTTGAAAGAGCAACCCAATCAGTCCCATTCCCCCACTCTTTCCCCATTGCCCTGCATTTTTTTTCTTTTCCAGTAAATATCCAATTCCCTTTTAAAAGTTATTATTGACTCTGCTTCCACCACCCTTTCAGGCAGTGCATTCCACAACTCGCTGAGTAAATAAACTTCTCCTCATCTCCCCTTCTGGTTCTTTTAGCAATTAACGTGGAGCTCACGTTTAAGTGAGTGATAAACGGAGACAGGAATAGACAGATTAGAAGACTACAAATTGGCAACAACGCCAATAGACCATTGAAACATTGTAGGTTTCCTTGATTACAAAACCTATGTGAATGGCAAAGGTCCAAAGTATAGAGTTCCACTGGGAATGAGTACCAGACACAATGGCTAAGTGATGCTAAACTTGGGTTTTAAAAGCCTGTAGAATAAAAGAAGGGAGACTAGGGATGATCAGGAGGGAAGTAAGAATTGAACTCTTAACAGGACTATGTTGTGATACCAGAATCACATCTTATTATGATGTTTGCCATGATATATAGGATGTTCTCTTGGATATGAGATCTATCTTCCAAGAGCAAATCACATTATATTGATGGACCAAGTTCATGGCCTGTGTTAATGCCAATCCTAAATTGGCAAACTTTTTTTTCCTCTTAATACCTCGAAATCTTTTCAAAGGGTTGTACATCAAAATTGTCAAGTCCATTCTGAAAGATATAACAAATAGAAATGAAGGGTATACAGTTCATTAGAGGCTCCTTCCTCTGGTCATCAGTACAGTGAGGAGAGTCTGGGATCAAAAAATGTTACATGTAATTTGCTGTGAATAAATAATCATGTGAATGTCTGAGATCCTTTGGCCAGCCAAATACAGAGTAATTAATCCTGAGTCATCACAGCGCCTTTCCAATCTGCCCGTTACATTCATTCCACTATTGCGTCACACTATTACTATGGAGTCCTATAGTGTAGTGGTTAGAGCAGTTGTCTCACAAGCGAGTGAACCTGGGTTTGATTCCTAGGTGGGGCAAAACCTTAGGCAAGTTTCCTTACTCCACGCACATCTATTTACCTCGCAGTAAGTAGGAACCCTGTCGTTATTCGATTTGCGGATTGCTTTCCGGGAGTAATAATTGCGTCATTCGCTCCACTCCATTTGGCTGCTGCATTCGCCCACAACATACACAGTCACTTTGCAATACATTCTGTGAAGCACTTTCAGACGTCTCAACAAAGTGATCAGGCTTTATATCAAATGTGAGGATGATTATCATATTGTCGCATCACACTATCACTATGAACATTTACACTAAGAGAGGTTTTCTTTCAAAGCGCTGCATTACTTATTTACAATTAATTTGCTCCCCCTTTTCTTTCGTCAAAACCTGATCGATATATGAATACCTAACAAGGCTGAATCAATCATAGGTCCTCCCTCCCCTCTCTCAATCTGTATCTCTCTAACTTGGTGTCCATCTGCGGTCGCTCTCTCCGTGTTTTGTCCACAAAATATACAGTCAATCAATCACTTTGCAATACATTTGTGGAGTCTGTAGCGTAATAGTTAAGAGCAATCGCTTTGGAAGCGAGAGGACCCGGGTTCGATTCCCCGGGTGGGGCGAAACGTTAGGCAAGTTTCCCTGCTCCACGCACCTCTGTTCCGAGCAGTAAATGCCTATTGTCTGCTGTTTCTGCCTCCAATGCCTTTATGCCTTACACACAGATTCAAACTTGACTCTCTTTCTGTCTCCTACAATGTTCTCTCTGCCTTTGGCTCACACTCCATCTGCCCAGGAATCACTGCCTTGATCTGTCCATCTGCTTCACACCAAATCCCTTGTGTGGTTTCTCACCCTCTTACTCTCAGCCCCTTCACACGGCACTCAGCTCAAATTAGCTCGAGTTTTGCTGCTGGGCGATACAGTACAGTGTGCAATATTGCACATCTGGACTATTTCTCTGCCTTCCCCAGGAGTTGCAGTGACTGTCTAAGGAAACTCCGTCTAGACAAGGAATGTCAGAAGCCACTATTGCAGAGGTTTGGGTGTCAGGGAACCAAATAATAGTCTGATGAGCCTCAAAGAGCAGAGAGTCTTGTCTTACCTTCTCTCACTGCTTCGCCTCCCAGAACTGCATCAACATCTGCTCGGAAACCGACCTCTGGGCTTTATATAAGCCAACCCTGCGAAACTTCTAGAAGGAATGTGCTCCACACATTATTTCGTGGACTGAAACCCGAGCCAATCGCACCGCCCACTCCCCCAACCCTTAAAAGAACAAAGAATTGGGGGTGGGGAGTGGGGGAAAAAAAGATATGTTTCATTGCAGCTGGTTTTCTTTGTGTGGGGGAAAGGAAAAAAAAATCAAATTTAAAATTTCAGACTCAAACGTTAATTGGCAACAAAGTGCTCGTATTTGGCATTGCTTATTATTGCACTAAACTGTCCCGAACTATTATTACCTCCTTTAACCATTTCCACCCCTTGCTCAGACCCTGTCTGATCCGTGACATTTTTTTCAAACAAACGTGTCAAATGTCTTTTCCTTGCAGAAGGTGGTTGGAATAGTCAGTGTTGTGTGTTTGCTGTTGGTTTGTTGGTAACTTTTTATAAAAGTTTCTCTCTTGTTATGTGAAAACAACAGCAACAAGATTCCATTTACAGAGCGCCTTTCACGTCGGGAGGACGTCCCAAGGTGCTGGACAGTTGGGTCGGGACCCGAGCCTTGGGGGGAAATGGTCAGGGTGAGGGATGGGAAGGGAAGGGAGGGAGCGAGGAGAGGTAGAGAGTTCAGAGGGGAGAGAAAGGTCTTGAGACCGGCCTTGAAGGAGGAAAGGGAGGAAGCGGCGAAGGCACTGGGGGATAGAATTCCAGAGCCTCGGGGCTGAGAGGCTGAAGGCCACCGATGGTAGGGCGGTTGGGGCGGGGGATGTGGAGCAGACCGGAGCCAGAGGAACGGGGGTTACGGGCGGGTACGTGGGGGGATAGTAGGTCAGAGAGGTAGAAGGGAGCGAGGCCGTGAATGGCCGTGTAGGTGAGGATGAGGATCTTGAATTGGATCCTCTGGGGGATGGTGGGGCATCAGCACAGAGAGAGACAGCATTTTGTTTTTGTTCTGTTTATCAACAACCAAACCGAGCTACAGATTCATTACCAGGACTTTACTGCAAACCGCGTTGATTTTATATTCATCTGGGTTTTTTTTCGCTGCTGAATTTGGACCCCCCCCCTCCACCCCCTCCCAGAAAAAAAAGCACTCTCATAAGTGCATCTCTTTCATCCCTTGAATCATCTCTTCCCCCAAACTTCGCCCCTTTAAAAAAACTGCCACGTCGACACAGCAGGAAAAAAAAGAGAGACACAGAGAGAAAGAAATGGAAACAGATTGCATTCCTGATGATAACTTTGGAATCACTGTAATTCTCTGATTAACTCCTTCTATTCCAAAGTCGAAAGGTCTATCCCTCTGGCACTTTATATAAAAAAACAGGCGGCAAGGATTTCTGAATCAAATGATAAAGCATTTCTGTGTTTAAAAAAAATAAATTAAATATGTGTGTGTGTGTGTGTACACATGTCTGGGGTTGGGGGGTCTCTGGAATACCCACTTTCCATAAGAGCAGAAAAACACTGGATATGATAAGAAAAGCGCTCTATCAAATGCAAGGATTATTATTATTATTAACTCATGATCAGAGGCAAACTGTTGCCACTTTTGGTCGCTCCACACAACTCTTTAGACCCCGAGGCGTTGCTTTACACTCGATCTTTTTTCTTACACACACACAAAGCTTTTTGTTGGGGCTGTGTGGGGGGGGTCTGTGTGTGTGGGGGGGGTCTGTGTGTGTGTGGGGGGGGTCTGTGTGTGTGTGGGGGGGGGCTGTGTGTGGGGGGCTGTGTGTGGGTGGGGCTGTGTGTGTGGGTGGGGCTGTGTGTGGGGTGGGGCTGTGTGTGGGGTGGGGCTGTGTGTGTGGGGGGGGCTGTGTGGGGGGTGGCTGTGGGTGTGTGTGTGTGGGGGGGGCTGTGTGTGGGGGGGGGCTGTGTGTGGGGGGGCTGTGTGTGTGGGTGGGGCTGTGTGTGTGGGGGGGCTGTGTGTGGGGGGGGGCTGTGTGGGGGGGCTGTGTGTGGGGGGGGCTGTGTGTGGGGGCTCTGTGTGGGGGGCTGTGTGTGTGGGGGGGGCTGTGTGTGTGGGTGGGGCTGTGTGTGTGGGTGGGGCTGTGTGTAGGGGGGGGGCTGTGTGTGGGGGGGGCTGTGTGTGTGGGGGGGGCTGTGTGTGGGGGGGCTGTGTTTGGGGTGGGGCTGTGTGTGGGGGGGCTGTGTTTGGGGTGGGGCTGTGTGGGGGGGGGGCTGTGTGTGGGGGGGGGCTGTGTGGCAGTGCTGACGCTGTGGCTCAGTGTAGTGCAGTGAGTGGGACGCGGTTTGAATTTGGCGCGGGTGGGGACTGAGCCGCGCTGATTGGTCGGTGGGGGGAGAGGGGCGGGGCTTCCGGTGGGTTTGAGAACTGGAGGTCAAATAACAATAATAATAATAATCATAACAGCAACAATGTGGGTCAGAGCCAAGAGGTGAGAGTAATAATAATAGGAAGTGCAGCCACAGAGCCCCAGAGGTGGAGTAACAACACAGTCAACACCACTGTCTGCGCTCAACCACTTTATATATAAAGCAGAGGGTTCGCCCTCAGAGATGACGGTGTCGGAGACTATTAAATACTGTTTAACTGTTTTTAGACATCAGAGGATCAGTGAGTGTGGGTGTGAGCGTGAGTGTGAGTGTGAGCGTGAGTGTGGGTGTGAGCGTGAGTGTGAGCGTGAGTGCGGGTGTGAGCGTGAGTGGGTGTGAGTGAGCGTGAGTGTGAGTGTGAGCGTGAGTGTGGGTGTCAGTGTGAGCGCCATCGTTTTTGTGGCAAATCATAATCTGTGTGACCCGACATCTTCTGTCACACGGATGGAGCGAGGAGGCGAGAGTGTGTCATCTCTTGACCCCCTGTTTCAGCTCCTTCCCCACTCCACAGTCTCGTATCGTATCGTATGGTATCGTCGCTGCTTCCGAGGCGCCATAAACATTGTTAGAAACGTGTTAAACATCCGTTTGATTGTGAAAAGCTGTTGAGACGTTCGTTTGTTGTTGTGTGAAAGGCGATGATGCAATGCGGGTAATTGTGATTATTATTATTAATAACGATGACAAAACCCAAACTTTTCGAGTTTATTTTGTTTCAGGAAAATGCCAGGAACAGCACAGAATAAACTGCCCAAATCAGTCTGGATCTAAGACCATTGCTAACCCTAATCCTAAACCTAACCCTAATCCTAGAAAACAGCACTGGGGTTCTCGACTGTTAAGTAGTGAAGGGCCCGTGTTCCAGCCTTAAACCCTGACGATGGAGAAAAGGAAGCGTTTCCTCTGCTATCAGCTGGTGATAACCGAGAATTACCAAAAGGCCATTAACCAGGAGCTCGGACAGCTGGTTCAGTGGGTGCGTTGCTGTGTTTTTCCTTAATTTACTTTTCGGAATCCCGTATCTTAGCGGTTAGCGTGCTTGCCCCGCGAGCGAGAGGTTCCTGGGCAGACCGAGACCTTAGCCAAGTTTGCTTACTCCACACACACACACACACACACACACACACACGCGCCTGTGTGTCTGACTCGCAGTAGGTAGGAACCTGGTTGTTATTTGATGGATCGCTTTCCGGGGGTAACAGTCCCTCCAAAAAAAAATGTGGTCATCCAATCCAGTCGTGGGACTGTTTGTGGGGACGCTGCTGTACGCAATTGGCTGCTGCGTTTCACCCACAAAATACACAGTCAACTTACCTTACAGTATACTCTGTGAGGCGCTTTGAGACGTCTCAAAGAAGTGATGAGGCGCGATATCAAATGTAATGATTATTATAATTATAATTATTCCCTCTTTTCGTCTGTTTGTCCAGGTCAGCCTGAACATTCGGGAGCTCACCAGCAGTTCAGAAGAAGATTTCAGCAAAAATTACAAAGCCGTCTGTGACCAACTGAGTCGGCTGCACAGAACAAGCGAGGAACTGTACAAAATCCTGCAGGAGACCAAAGCGGGTAACGTGCCACTGTTTATTCCCAACCTCAACCTTTCGACATCTCCATGAGGAGGGCTCCGTAAGAATATCGTTATGCCGTCTGTTTAATAGGATTTGCGTTTGATGTAGCACCTTATTACGTTGTTGAGATGTCTCGAAGCTCTTCACAGAAACATTGTAAAGTGGAAACGCGGCAGCGAATGGCTCACAGAGACATCCCACAAACATCATGGGTTGAGTGACCAAATTTAACAAATAATTTACATTTTTCCTCCTAATTTTGCTTTTCTGTCTCTCATCCAGGCCTCTCTTCTCCCTCTGAATCTCTGTATGAGTTGTTGGATGGACCACTGACAAAGCTGCTTCTGTTTCCCACTGGAGCTCAAGCCTTTATTTCCCTAAACCCAGCAGTCCTTGACCCCCCCGGCAAGGGAAATGTGAGCATGTCTGACGTTAAGGGGTCTGACAGGTACAGCCCTGAGCTCCATACTCCTCAAGTGAAGCCAACCAGGGAGAGCGGGCAGTGCTGGGGAGAGTCCACAACACAAGCTATGGTGCAGAAGGTCAATCGTGCCAATGGGACCAAGTCTCTTGCCAACGTCCAGCCTTTAAAGGTGAACAAGACTTTGGATGCACCGGCGCCGCCTGCTGGTCAGACGCCTGAACTTCATGTGGCAGGACTGACAGTGGCCAAGTCAGGTGAGCTCCACCATGAAGACCCCACGTCAGAGATTCTGCTACAAGAGGAAAGAAATCAGTCGCCGAGGCCCAGAGGTGATGGAGGATCTTTTCCCAACAGCCAATCAGCCAAGACAGACACTGCCCCCAACGAAGCTCTGTGTTCACAGCCGCCTGACGGCAGGAACGTAGCCAAAGACGAACGGTTATTGTCCGTTGGGACATCTGCGAGGACAAGCCCAGCCCTGGAGGACGACTGTCCTGTCCTGAGCAAACAGAAACCGAGTGAGGGCCTGACCCGCGTTGCCCGCTCGGAACACGAGGTCTGGGACACCTTTGAGTTCTCTTTATCCTCGGTGTCCGATTGGGACACCCGGGGCGACATCAAAATCAGTGAGAAAAGGGAGAGCGGGGGGCATGTCTGGGCCTCGACCGGTGATGTCTCCTCGTCGCAAGAACCTTTGAGCCCGGATGAGTCGTTCAG